AAAGATCATTTAAACCACAAATCCATGTGGAAAATTCTGACAACTTAGTAGCAGCAATTTTACTCTCCGTTTAAATAGTTTTTTAGAAAAATTTGTCAGAGATGTGGGGAGACTGTTCCATATCTTTGATCCTCTGTATAAAACACTAAACTGTGTTTATGTTGTACGAGAGTAAGGAGGTCTGATAATTCAATTCAATTAAATTCAATTTTATATATATAGCGCCACATCACAACAACAGTTGTCTCACAGCGCTTTCCAAACAGAGCAGGTCAGACCCTACTCTGAAGTTAATTACAGAAACCCAACAATTCCCACCATGAGCAAGCACTAGGCGACACAGGGAAGGAAAAACTTCCTTATAGATAAGATAACCACTACGAGTTGGATACTGGTGAAATTCATTATTAACTCATTGACTGCCAGCCATTTTCAGAACAGAGAGTCCCATACTGCCAGAGTTTTTTGAGCATTTTGACTGATTTTTCAAGAGCCACAGAATAGTTTGTGCTATGATTATGTAAACACCGAACACACCAAAAGAAAGAGTAGACTCTCTTCTTTCATCAGGAAAAAAAAAGCGTTTTTACCTTATTCCGTTCTTCCTCGACTTGCGTCTCACCGGCGTCATAGCGAACCGTTAGCTTTTTCTTATTTGCCTACAGTCTATGCTCATCTCCCATCAAAAGTGGCACTGCCCCATAGAGGGTCAATTTGTTACTACATACTCTGTCTAGAAGCCTGATATTTACGGAGAAGCTTTAGCAGATCGTCCCCCAAGCCAATTTCGCTGAAAAACATAAAAGACGTCTATAGACGTCTTTGGCAGCCAATGAGTTAAAAGTAAAGATATTACAAAAGTGCTGGGGACTAATGAACTGCCAGTGAGAGGCTGGGAGCCTTTACTTCTGCCCCTCGCCGCCGTCGCCATGGAAACCGAGGGCCCGGTGGTCAGAAGTCGTTCTTGTTTGGGGGCTTATCTGTAAGGCAGAGCTAATGTTGTTTTCTCCTTTTTTGTGCGCTTGGAGAAAGCCTTTTGTGTCTTTGTGATTCAAATGGAGCCTTTTGGGCTCTTTGGGGGTTTTTGTTTATTTATTTTTGCTCTTAATAATCAGGCTTATTTGTGCGTTTCTTTGCTCGCCGCTTTTAGAAATTCTGAAAATGCGTTTGCTGCTTTTTGTTCTGGAGCTCTGGGAAACTTTTGGGGTGTCCTCACAGAGTCCTGTCCAGTGGGAAGAAGCTTTGAGAGAACAGACGCACCTTTGTTTCTGCCCATCAGCTCTTCGGAGGCTGGGGGTAAAGATTCCCCCCAATTTCCCCTCTTTTTCCTCCCGTTTTCCCCTCATTTTTCTTCGCTTGCCCCTCTTTTTCCCCCTGTTTTCTCCCCCGTTTTCCACCGGTTTTCGGCCCAGTTTTCCCCTCTTTTCCCCCGTTTTCCCCTCTTTTTCCCCCTGTTTTCCCCCCTTTTTCCACCCGTTTTCCCCCCGTTTTCCCCCCATTTTCCCCTCTTTTTCAGCACTGTAATTCTCTGCTTTGCGTTCCCGTTGTCTGCAGAGCCAGGAGATGAACATAAACCCACAATTCAGAATGATTTACGTTTTCCTCGAGAGGAAATTCAGAGCAGCAAACACAAACAAAACCTGCACAATCTGAAGCCTGATGTCCACAGATTTGATTTATCGGCCCAAATCAATACAAATTAAAAAGGTTTGCACTTGTACAAACCTATTTAACATCCACTATTTTAACATAATATTATGTATAGAGTTTAATTCAGTGTTTTCAAGATTAATTTCACTATTCTTAAATTGATGGTTATTGCCATGAAGCAATTAGGATTTTTTTGCCTGGGATCATCGATTGGTGACCTAATCAAAATGGCAGACTTGGATATCCATCCATGGCTTCCTGCAGTCTGCAGCCAGACGTATTTGCATTTTTAACCTGTTCCACCAACCATCTGCTACACGTTAGCTTGTCTCCACCTTTTTAAAAATGTTTTATCATCAGCCAAAACTAAAAAACCTAATTTTTTCAGGCCTGCATCTGCAAAAAAGAATCGATTAAACCTTATTGAACGCGTTCACATGGTATTTATTTAATCCAGAGGCTTTGTGCTCCATTCAAAGCAGCAGAAGTGTCGTCAGATTTCCCCCCCCAGCAGCTTTGATCAGCTCCGTTTTGCGACTAAACTGATTATAAAGTGTTCCAAATGTTTATCTGGGAGCAGAGGCAGGGATCTGGCTTTTTGTGGGATTTCTGGCCGGGATTTGGAACGCTCCGACCGCTCGATCGGGTCTGCGTTCCACCTGTTTCTCACTGAAAACGCAGCACAAATTCCTGCTGTATTCTGCTTTTTTCTGCCCGTCTCCACTCAGACCTCCTGCCGGATCTCGCCGTTTGAACTCTCAGCTTTTATCTCAGCTCTGAACATGGCCGCCGAATGTGGGGGATTCAGAAACATGCCTCGGGAAGTGTTAAGGAAACGAGACTCTTGCGTGGCCAGAACTCAGAGTACATCACTTTCCCTCAAATCTAGAAGTTGCAAAGGGGTTTGGAACGTCTGGCGTGGAGCTTTAAAGGGAAATCGTGTAGTATTTTAAGTATCTTATTAGCTAAAATAATTTTCTTCATTTATAAATGTGTCTTCACTTAGTGTAAGTTTGCATCAGAAGGAGGTGTGAAATCTAAACAAGGTTTTGGGGAACCTGCGGCTAGGGTTGTCACGATACTAAAATGTGCGACTCGATACCGATACTCAGGATATAATGAAATATTCGATACCATTTTCGATACCACAAGGATAAAAACAAAGACCCCAAAATTTAACTGAATTTGGACAGGTTAGTGTCTTTCGTTTCAAACTGACCTGTTACTGATGTTATGGTGGCCCACATTAATGACCCTAACCCTCACCCTAACCCTAACCCTGACCCTAGCCCTAATCCTCCACCCTTCATAACTGTGAGAAATAAATATTTTTTGGTTAAACTTGTTTGGACTTATTGTACAAACCTATTTAACATCCACTATTTTAACATAATATTATGGATAGAGTTTAATTCAGTGTTTGCAAGATTCATTTCACTATTTTTAAATTCATGTCTATATTGCCATGAGGCTATTACGATTTTCTTGCCTGGGATCTTCCTATTGGTGACCTAATCAAAATGGCCGACTTAGATGTGGGGGAGTTGGATATCGACTCTTGGCTTCCTGCAGCCAAACGGACTTGATTAATGTTGGCGTGTTGTTATTAGCCGTTAGCTGCAGCTAGCAATTCAAGGCTAATGTCACGTTAATGATCATAAACAACATAAATAAATAAATAAATCAGAGAGAAGGGGGTGGTATTGATACTCTTGAAAATGAGTATCGTATCTGGATACAACGTTTTAGTATCTATACTTTTGAAAATGAGTATCGTATCCGGATA